CAGATAGTGTGGTTGCTCGTTTTGGAGTGTCCTTTTGAATTATTTATTTAAACACACCGAAAAGACAAAAGTTTGGTTACTGATGAACAATGGATTCACAGCACTTTTTTTAAAAAAAGATAAATGTCCCTCCACCTTCTCCCGCAGCATGTGGAGGCTCCAGTCTGGGTTAGTAAATCTAGGCTCTTTTGTTTCCACATGCGTGGTGAGGTGGTGCTTGTCATCAGCCTTCAGGCAGCCTTATTCCCACCCTCAGGCATCAGGTGTCCTTTTCAGCGACCTGACGCCAGCAGAGAAGATCGACCACGCAGGTTTTTAAGGGTCAGATTAATTTTTCTTGACTCTGGGCTTCTGCTGTGGAGAAGGAACCAGACCCAGAGGAGTTTGAAGTTTTGAAGTTCTTATGAAGAAACTGCACCAGTGAGGAAAAGCTATGAGACTCGAGCCGATGACACGTGTTACGCCCCCTTTTCGATGGCTGACTGTGACTTCACCTGGGATAACAAATACTGAGACAAAGTCGGTGTAATATAACGAATGTAACATGATGAATAGTTGATTGGTGAAGTTGCCTATTTACATTTTCTTGCCTCAGATTGTTACCCCTTAATGCAGAGTGTCATTTTAATCTAGTTCTGGGTCGATCACATAATAAAAACCCCGGGTACATAGTAGTTAAGCGAATATGTAAATATCATAATTCACTGCTCTTATTTTTTGTTTTGTTTTGTTTGTGTTTGTTCTCCAGAATCCTCCATGTACAACTAAACCACTGTCACTCTCCTGTACATGAAAACAAGTTGTAAATGGTGTCAATAACAAATTTTCTTTTGTAAAAGAATGGTTTTAATAAGAGGTTTACGGTAACACTATATTTTCTTTTCCCTGTTTAATTTCTGATGTACATGAAAGATGTGTAATATAGAAATTGTCACCTTAATAAATTAAATCAAAAATTTGCGCGTTTGTGTCTTGGATCATTTTGTGTATTGTACAAAATCAATTGTAATGAACCATTTAAAACTTCCAAAGCCTCGTACAAAGCCTCAGTATCACCTAAAGCTTTATGAAAATGTATGAAATATGGAATGACTTTGAAGCATTGATTATAATAGTATAAATATTATATAATATTTATAATTTTGGAGGAATAAAATGACATCAATATGTAAATACTCAAATAAATATAGAAATATGTAAAACAACATAAAATCTGAAGTGGATGCATGAATGAAGCTACATTTCTACTTTTTTAATTTCTGCTTTTCACAATTATTTATTTCTGTTTGTATATGAGTGAGTGAGGTGGTGCTAACTTCACTGTGAAGCAGGACTGCTGCTAACAGGCTGTTATTTTGCCTTGTTAGTGTTAGTATGAAGTAAGTATTCTTTTTACCAATAAATACAATAATAATAAAGTTTTTAAGAGAATCTTAAATTCTCACAGACTGTTATGTAGGTGTCATCTTCTGTTTACAATTGTGAATCATTCTTTGACATAAACAGTAAACATGTCATTTACAGTAATTATCATTAATAGAGGTGATGCTATGAACGTTTTTGAAATAATTCTCGAATAATATAACACAATTAGGTTCTACAATGTATTATCAGTTTTTAAATATAGCTGAACTTGGGTTGCTCCCAGTACGTAGTCTCAGATATTTAGGATATCAATTACTGTGATTTAATACGTCAGTAGAAACTGATCACACACAACAGTAAAAGTGTCAGAGGGTGAAATTTTACTGAAAATGCAGAAACATTTATATATAATGTTCAATATTTACTGAATCTGTTTGAGAAGTGTTGGTTTATTTTAATGGTCATTGTGGAGACTTTAATTGTGGTAATGTTTAAGTGTACTGGCATATACTGAGAAGTGTTCCCAATATTTAGTCAAATATAATTCCTATAAATGGTGTGGACAAAATATTAGGAACACCTCTCAGTATATGGTTAGTTTATATACAGTGTCCAAAAGCCTGAGACCACTTTCCCATGTGGCCTCACATGTTGCTCCACAGCAGCTCTAGTGTCGCTCAGTTTCATTTACAAAGGAGAATAAAAGGAGCCATTAAAAACACTGAACAAGTTCAGCAGGGTATCGTCGTCGTGTCTCACCTATTTCTCCTACTGAATTTTAGGAGAAAAAAATAAAAGAAACAGCATTTCAAACAAAATAGAAAATAAAGTGAAGCTGAAATGAGAATCACAGTTTCTTTCAAATTTTCACTTTGAAAGCCCCCACAGAGTTCACCACCGTTATTAGAGCTGTAGATAGCTGAGATACAGCTGACCTTGGTGCTGTTGACCGGTCTGAACCAGAACGTCACAGGTTCATGTCGTTGGATCACAGCAAGTTTGACTTCTTCACCTGACTGGACCTCTTACTGAGGCTGTAGAGAATTAAAGCTGTTATTGAGGTTAAGTTAATCACTGGCCTGGTTTCCATTGCAGTTTTGTGCAAAATAGAAGCGATTTTGTTGGAAAACACAATTGCAAATGGTCTATGTTTCCATTGACTGATGTTATGCAGATAAAGCTGAGTTTTCTCCTGTTGCAATATCATTCCAATTAAACGCATTTCCAGCAGACTGCCTATCAGTTAGAACTGGCTCCATGGGGCATGATACGGCTCCACTTAACTGCAGAACAAGTGTTTCCATTTCAAATTAGCAAAATATTGCTTTGTCCAATAGGAAAACCACCTCATGCATTTCATCATTTTTTCTAAATTCCCATGATACGGCCCGGGCCACATGATATTGAGCATTTTCCATCCATTAGCAACTTCATTACCCGGAGAGATCCCTTCCTAATGTAATTCCAGTGTAACAAACTAAATCCACAGTCTCTGTCCTGCACAAAAATGTATTCTAAATGTATAAATGTATGTTACATGTGAGCTAGACAAAGCGGGAGGCCACACAGCAAGATCAGAAGATCCTTCAGAAATCTCTTCCAAAAATCCACACTTGACTTCTTCCTGTTCCTGTGTGGGTACACTGGCTGCATCCCACAATATGAAGAATGTAAATATTGATGTATTCGCCCTGATGAAATAAATATGTCAAATAATAATAATAATAAAAATGAAACAAAAAGGGCTGTGTAGAGTGGTGCAATGTCTGTCGGCACAAAACAGAGTGATAAAACCTTGGGCGAAGCATTGGGGCATCAAAAGTTCCAGAAATGAAACTGACTTTCATGCAGTGTAAAGTTTGTTAAGCAATATATGAAATGTAAAATGTTAAAGTAATTCAATTGAAAGAAAAATTTTAATGACATTTACATACAGAGAAGAACATGTTTGTCTGTGTCAGGGAAACATCTGCAGCAAGTGTTTCCAACCCAGAAGGTTTGACACTGACCTCACTCACACTGCAGGTGTGTCACACTGTGTGACTGTTGGGGGAAAGACTGGGGAGGAGTGGAGGGAAGGGATGAAGAGAAGACAGGCGGATTTAGAACTTTTAATTGGAATTATTTATTATTATTATTATATTTTATTTGTTGCATTTGTAGTGGTGTTTGTGTCACCTGGTGTCTCATGATGATCTCAGTCCAGTGTTCCCGCTCTTTTAGCTCTGTGTTTGGTCTCCACCAGCTCCTGAGGGAAATCTGTCTCTTTAGCTTCTTAATGCTCCACTATGTTCAGCAGCTGCTCTCGGGCCGTGTCTGTCTGTCTGTTTGCTGCTGAGGAGGTCGTGGACAGTGGCTACAGCCTAAAAAGTCTATATATTATAAGATGACAAAGACTTTTACTGCACTGTTCTGTTTCTTTTCTTTTAATTACATTCTTAAACTGCATTCACGATGGCCTTAAAAAGGTCTTAAAAACTCTTCAACACCAAGATAGAAAGTTAAAATGAACGCAGTGCAAAAACTGGACATTGACTGTTTCCCTGGTAAAAATGTTGTAAATAGTTTCCATTGGGCACAATGCTGTTACTGTATGTAAGAATTCATTTGTAATTTGTGCTTTCTTTTATTCTTGCAGCTCACATCATGTGCTGTGGTACAGTGGATGGATGGGCATCGGTTGAGAAAACTAAGGTCATCACAGGGGGAGGAGCCATGGAGAGAGATCATCAGTTTCACCTGTACCTCAAATTCTGTTAGTAAGTTATATGATAAGTTTATCGCACTACAGTCACTCACTATCGCCTCTTGAGGAACAAAGTGGTGTTACAAGATGAGATGGACTGTTCAGGACATCTAGCACCAGTTACACAGTGAACCTTTTCAAGGCAATCTGCAGTCACTTATTTCTGCCCCATTAAAGCCATTACCATTCTGTTCAAATAACCTTTGAGACACAAGTAAACTTAATGATAATAATAATTCACTTTTTGCTACATAAAGTTGTTGTTTTGACTTCTGTGGTTTGAAGGAGCAGTGTGTAGGATTTAGTGACATCTAGTGGTGAGGTTGCAGATTGCAACCAACTGAACCTACAGTGGCCTTCAGGTAATGTAAAAATGTGAAAGGACCCCTATAGAGCCAGTGTTTGTTTTGTCCCTTCAGGGCTACTGTAGAAAACATGGCAGTGCAACATGGCGGGGGCTCCATGGAAGAAAACCCGCTTCCTCTGTAGAAATGAATGGGCTCATTCTAAACTAACGAAAACACAACAACTCTTAGTTTCAGGTGATTATACACCGATGAAAACCTAATTCTGAATATTATATTCCATTTCTGCCAATAGATCCCCCCTAAACTCGACACACTGGTCCTTTAAGTTGCACAAAATCTGTACTTCAGAACATGGAAATGGTTCACTGGTTATTTTGGCAACACAGATCTACCAGGTAACATATCCCAAAAATCATCTTCATTTACAGGAAAAGAAGTAAAATGCGTGCATATGATTTTAAATAGCGTTTTAATTTAAAACAAATAATGAAATCATTCCCCAGACTCTGATTGTTTTTTTTTAAAATGATGGATAATTGGTCCACGTCCAGGAAACGCTCCCGCAAAGGTGATGTTTGAAACTACAAACATGGCTGCTGCAAACAGTTTTGGTCATTGCTCTGAATCTGCTCCAGCGCTTCGCCGCCATGTTCCACCCCGTCATCTTCCTCCTCCTCCTCCTCCTCCTCCTCCTCCTCTTCTTCTCTTTCTGTCTGTCCTTCGATGGTGATGATAGACATCGCAGCCTGACAGCCCTCATCAATCCTCCTCCGCTCTCCCTCCTCCTCCTCCTCTTCCTCGTGTCTCTCCACCTGCTCGTGGCCGCCCTTTGACCTTTCGTCCTCCTCTCCGTCGTCTCCTCCTGTCCCTGGCCTTTTCGCTTCTCTCGCGAACCTGCTTCTCCTCCCGTCATCCTCTCCATCCTTCTCCTCCGCCATCGGCACTCCTGCCACCTCGTCTCCGTCCGCCTCTCCGGCCCCTCCGTCACTTCCTGTCCCGTTCCCCGCTGCGGGACACTTGTGGTCTCTGTAATAGCTCTGCCGGGTGAATCCCTTGTTGCAGGTGGAGCATCTGAAGCGGTAGTTATCTGTGTGGGACTGCTGATGCTCGAGCATGTGAGCTCTGCGGCTGAACGCCTTCTGACAAAATAGACACTTGTAGGGTTTTATACCTGAGGGAGAGACAAGTTCATAAGAATCATTTTTTGCTACAAGTTTCAGCACAAGTGCTGTATGTAGCTGCAGACTGAACAAACAATTCTTGGATGTTGAGCTGCTGCGGAGGTAGGAGCTGGCTTTGAGATGTTATTCCCATCAGTTGTATCTCTTGGTTTTACAAACATGCCATTAGGATTTGCAGTCAAGCCTTGGGTATGTCCAAAAAAACAGCAATTATTCCACATCTGGATCACTATTAAGATCTAATCTGGTCGAGCTGTTCACTCAGTTTTTAGTTATTCTAACAGACGAGCCATTTAAGAGACAAATCACGTGCGAGAGGAAGTTTCATTGATGCTTCGACTTATCAGAACATCACAAACAGTATTCCACCATCTTTGTTTAAATAAAAATATTAATATTATTGGCATTAATTACTCACCAGAATGAGACAGAATGTGAGCTTTAAGTTTGTCTGGTCTGTTGAATTCTTTGGTGCAGCCAACATGAGTCCTGATGAGAAAACACACAAACGTCAGCATAAAATGAAATGGAAAAACTCACAAGACTGTCCGAAAGGAAAGAGTCAAAAGAAAAGGTGGCATAGAAGCACAGGTGAGAGGCAACAGGAAGAAATGACATCCACTGAGGAGCCTCACCTGAAGGGACACTTGTATTTCTTGAAAGGTTCGTGGATGAGCATGTGTCGCTTCACTTTGTCCTTCCTGTTGAACGTCGCCTCACAGAGGGAGCATTTGTATGGCTTTTCACCTGGGAATGGAATTGGCATCAAACTTAATTTGATTCGTTAGTTAGATTACAGGACAGAACTGTGCTGTTAGACTTTTAACTAAAACAAGGAATATTATTATATATTATCATTATATATTTTTAACTCAAGCGTTTGCTTTGGCAAAATTCTTGCAATTGCACAGCCTTCCAAAGCATTAGAGATTCATCATTAACTTCACATTAATCATTAATTAGTAGCTGAGGAGTTTCCTCAGGTATTATTATGGTACTATTAAGCATTTCCTTTTTCTGGTGTAACGGAGCAGAACTGGGTTGTTAGTCTAAGTCAATGTGGTCACAGTGTGTGCAGACATCATCATCTCATCTCCAGCGTTGTGACGGCTACAACATCAACACATCTGCCCCTGACTCTAGCGACAGAACTAAGCACAGTTCTCTAGTGGCTAAAAGTTTTCCTGTAAAATAAGTGTTTTCAGAAAAGTCGTCCAGACCTGAATGAATGCGTGTGTGGAGTTTGAGGTAGTGCTCTGTCTTGAAGGCCTTCTTACAGATCTGACACTTGAACCTCCCTCCGCTGCCATGAGTGGGGAGGTGGCGTCTGAAGTATCTTTCACACGGGAAAACCTGATGGTCAGAGAGAGAGAGAGAGAGATCGGATCAGACACTGCTGATCTGAAGACACTGGGTCTTTACATGAGGACAGATTTATAGATTTGAAAAAGGTGTATAGTCTGTGTTTGTTCACGTGAGTGTGTGTGCTGCACCTTTTGGCAGTGTGGACAGGGGAAGTTGTGTGAGGCAGTGAGTAGATGTTGTTCCAGAGCCTCATGGGTAGAATATCGGCTCTGACACTTCACACACCTGGAAAAGAAAAAGAAAAGTGTTTTTTGTTTAAATTTTTTTATCAGGAGTAAGAAAGATGTTCTGAACCAACTGACCACAGTAACATCATCATACCAGACAAGTAAGAATCAACTCAAGTCTATTTATAAAGCACATTTAAAACAACCAGCGTTTGAAGATATAATCTTTATAAGTGGCTAAAAAATATAAAGTTTCATCTTTAAAAAGGTAAAAACAGCTGGACACTGATTTTTATCAACTGCTACTCAAACAGGAGTAAATAGTGAATTTATTAGTGACTATTTTTCCTGTGTTCTGTCATAATTAATATGTAATGAGCGGCTGAGCTGACCTGTAGACGGTGGTTTCCTTGCGCGTGTTCTGCTGCGGGCAGAAGCAGTGGGAGTACTGGTGGACGCCCAGTTCGAACAGCGAGGGGAACACCTTGCTGCAGAGGTGGCAGCGGTAGGTCAGCTGCTCCTGGTGCGTCCTGATGTGCTCCAGAAACTGATCCAGCTTCTGGAAAGTCTGGGAGCAGGACTTCAGCACACACTTGTAAACCTGTAGGGGAGCAGACATGTAGTCCAGTTCACTGATCCAGTTTTATGTGAGTGTTTTTATCCCATTTATTCAACTCCCAAGTGAGTTACCAAGTCATGTATAATTTACCTTACTGCCCACCATTTTCTAATGCGTACCCTATCATGTATTTATGAGAATGAATAGGAACTTACAGATACCTGACATGTGCATAAGAAAGGTAATTTATGACAGAGAGCATCATACTCGATTTTAATTTTGCCAGAACTTCTCTATCATTGTGCTCTGTTGGTCTCATGTGAGTCTGTACTGCTGGGAGACTCTGAGGGCTTTGGTATGCATGTGCTCACCTGCTCCCCTTTGTGCTGGGTCAGGTGCGACTTGAGCTGGAAGTAGGTCTTGAACTTGCTGGCGCAGAACTGGCACTGGTAGGAGCTGTCGATCACGACGATCTGTTTGGTCGGAGCTTGGCACTGTTGGCTCTGGTTGGACGGCAACTGCATCTGTGCCTGAGGATGCCCGTTCTGCACGGCGTTCTCCCCAGCTTGGCTTCCCTCCTGATCAGCCCGAGCCTCAGTCGCACTCTCCTCCAAATCCCCCGCGGCTTCTGTAATCAAGGATTGCACTTACTGTGAGGACATACAGAGCCATAAATCTGATGCTGGATCAGTGAGCATTCATACTTTTACAAGTGGGACCAGCTTTTCTTAGTCCTGAATTAGTAGCAACCTTAAACTAGATAAAATATGAACGACGTGTTGATGATGTAACTGGTTTATTAACTTGTCGTCATAATGTCATCAGTGTCATTTTACAGATTTTACCTGTTTGAGCTGCTGCTTCCTCTGCTTGTGTTTGACTGGTCTGCTGCTGAGACCCCTCCTCCTCCTGTTCACCTTGCTGCTGCTGCTGCTGCTGCTGCTGCTGCTGCTGCTGCTGCTGCTCCCCGCCTCCCTCCTCCTCATTGGACGACACTGGCACTACCTTCACTGTGACTGGTAATCTTGATACTGTGCTGGCCACACCCATAGGCCATACCTTGAAGATTAAAAAAATCAGTTGTTGTTACTGTGTTGGTTGCCTTCATGTTCAGGTTTAACATGAAAGTGCTTTTTGATGCATTTTAAATTATGCTCTAGAGAAAACTGGATATGGCAGTTTATTCAATGAATACATGTCCAGAGGTGCAACATTAGGTTAAAGAAACTGCAGCTGGTCGTGTGAACCTTGTGCGTCTGCATGTGTTTCTTCACGTTGGACTTTTGGGCGAAGGCTCGTCCACAGACGATACACTGAAAGGGTTTCTCTCCCGTGTGGCTGTGAAAGGAAAATGGTTGTAAGTCAAAACCGAGTCACTTTCTTTCGCACAAGCATCCATTTTGTAGTTGTGTACAGTTTTCGGTGCCGGTCGGTAACTCGCCTTCGGATGTGCTGCTGGAGATCAAAGTTTTTCGCGAAGATTTTGTCGCAGAAATTACACTTCAACTTCGGACCTTTTCCTTTCAGCTGCTCGGCTGCGGAGCAAAATTTAGAGAATGAATATTAATCCTAAAGTCATCATCGTACAAATCGGTGGTAAATCATTATGTCAACATTTTAAAACTGATCAATATTTGTTGATTTTGAATGGATCTGACAGAAATACGCAGCAATACATTATACACACTGGATGTGTTGTGTCTGAGAATTTTCCTTCATGATGGTTTCGTCATTTGATATTAAAATGGGTCAAATATAAGTTTAACCTTTTTCCTCACAGACCTGTTGCTCCGTCGGGGCTCTTCTTGTTGCTCCTCGGACGTTTGGGAATGATGACCTTTTCGAAATCGCCCAGCTCCGTCAGGTTGGTGGTGATGCTGCAGGTCTTTGTTTTGGTGCCCTGCTTCCCGGGGCTGTAGACAGGAGGGGTGGTGAATGACTGGCTCTCCACACACTGACTGGGCACCTGAGGGACACACACACACACACACACACACACACACACACACACACACACACACACACACACACACACACACACAGGCTCAGTGCTTTGTCTTACACTGCCAACAGCTTTGGAATGAAATGATGCATAACATATTTAATACTGCGATTGTAACCAAACAGCAAACTTTACTCACTTGTACAGGATGGAAGGGCTGCAGACCCAGCGTGTGGATCTCTGCACCACCACCACCACCACCACCACCACCACCACCACCAACCCCAGCCATATGGGGCATGGCGCTGTACACCTGGACCACTGAGTTGCTGTGGCTCGCTGGGACTTGAGAAGAGAGCGGCTGCTGGGCGGGCTGGCCGGCTGGCAGGGGGTGGGCCGGTGTTTGGCTGGAGGGCAGGGGGTGGGACGACTGAGTCTGTTGCTGTTGATGGTGATGATGATGATGGTGGTGGTGGTGATGGTGCTGAAGGTAAGATACGCCGGCTGTGTGCATGCTCAGGTTACTCTGCAATACAAAACAAATACATGTGATAATTGCTGTATGATTTTATGATTATTTCATTCTTTAATTAAGGCTCCTAATGGACATTTCCAATTGTCCCAGTTTAGCTCTTAATGAATCATCTCACAGTTTTGGTCATTTTTATCTCGGGTTATGGTGTAATGCTTCCCCCTGCTGGTTTACCTGTATGGGCGTCTGCATGGCGGCCATGGGCTGGTCGATGGAGGTGAAGGCTGAGATGGCCGACATGAGAACGTCGTCACTGACCAGCACGTTGCCTTGGACCAGAGTGTGTGTCAGAGGGGAGGGAGGGACTGTGATGTAGGTGGACACCTGGTGTAGAAGTGCAGAGTAAAACACAAACATGAAACCTAGGTTGGTGCTTGTTATTTTGATCCAGAAACGATCCACTGCAGGCGAAATGAAGTCCACGATTGCATCAAAAACTTATAATCCTTAATATTTTGCTAAATACTGTAATTATAATTATTGATCATAATTATTTACAATCATTCTGTCACTGTTGTCATATTTAACACAAATTCAAATATAAAATGACATGTATTTATTCAGTTTTTTTTATTGTTTTAATGTTTATTTGTCCTCATCATGTCCTCTCTTTGTTTCCTGTACCAGTGATTTGGTCACTTTCCTTGTTCTCTATTATTAAAACCCATATTTAAAATCCTCAAAATAAATGTCTCGTCTCTTTTATTACTGGTTTATATACTGCTAGTGTAACAACAAACTGTATGACCTGACCTGAAAGAAATTGTTTCTTTATTATCTGATTGAGCATTAAATTCTCTATCCTCACCTGTCTGTTGGCAGGAGTCTGTGGTCCGGAGCTGATTGACGGGACGGGCGTGTAGACGTTGGTGGAGGCCAAGGACACTGTGGACAGGGAGGGGGCGCTAGACTGGCACTGCTCCCTCTTGTGTGTCATGAAGGCTGGCAAAGAGTTGAACTGTTTTTTACACTTCCCACACAGGAAGACGTCCTCGTCGTCTGCAGGAAGGACAAACGAGGAGGTTTGAGAGAAAGGAATAACACACCTACCTCCAGAATGTTCACACAAAATATATTCACTTTGATAAGATTAATGTATTTCGCATGTGAATAAAAAGAAGGAAATCAGGCAACTTGTCATGAGCAGCAAACGCATCCCTGGCTGCACAATCAAAGACAAAAGCAGGAACAAAGTCGTACTGTCACCATGTACTGTATTTGTTGTACAAACCCATAGACTGGATAGCGGGTGTGCCAGAGACGTTCTGGTTGTTTGGGTCAGGAACTCCGCCTTGGCCATCCAGCAGAGACTGGACCGCCAACACTGTCTGGTTGTCCATCCCTGAAGACGAAGAAGAAGAGGAGGGTGGAGAAACAGCGTAATAAGTAACAGGCTCAACTGTACTCTGAGCACGTAGTTCACTGAAAACTTAAAATATGAATGTAGTTTTTATGTCTCTAAAGGGGTCTGGGCGAATAACATGAAGGGGAAGAACATTGATTGGCCCTGAAAATGATAGAGAAACCGTATCTTATTGAAGGACACTGACTGATCCATGCACTAACTGCTAAATCCTCAGTGAAAAGAAATAATACTAAGTGCCTTAAGTCAAGACTAGCAGCTTTATATAGGGTTATCTACCTGCCACTGCAGCTCCACTTATAGTTACCTTATATACATTGTGGAAGACTGTACACAAATCTATTAATAATAAGGATTAATACCTCAGGAGATTACAATACACAAAGTATACGGTCGCTTTAAATTAATTAACACAGACACACTATTAACCTTTACAGGTATTTTATAGGGATATTACAGTGGGTTTTGATCAAAATGGCCTGCTGCAAAGATGTAACATGCAGTGTGAATAGCAGCTGGAGGCCCACATCATTTTTGCTGCCTGACTCCAATAGATGAGACCAACTTACAGTCACATGCTGCTCATAAGGTCTAAGCAATAATCAATCTGTTTGTTTGTTTACAGTCCTAGACACTCTGCCTTCCAGGGGATGTTTTGATTGTTATATCAAGAGTATACGCATTGCATAGTTTTATACTGAGTTTTGCGTACATCGAAATGGGCCCGGTATGTTGACGTTGTTTAAAATAACATTCACGTTTTATTCTTGCTGTAGAAACGTGGTTATTAACAAAATATTCCTACCTTCAAGCACTTCAAATATTGCCTGCGCCATCTTGTAGCTCTCCAGCTGCGCGATAGGCGCTCGATTGGCAGGGTCTGCCTGTGGAGGGACGCTTCACTCAACTCATCGGAAAACACGATGGAAACCCTCAAACTCAGAAGTTAGAGGCAAAACATTTGAATAATTAATGTTCACACTACACTGCCGAGGGTATATAAATATATACCGGCTGGAAGTACAGGTTGTTTGTCTAAAGGCTCAAAGGCTGGCAGATGAGGTTTTCGTTTCTCCAATGAACATTTTCCCCACGTAAAAAGACAAATAGCACCTGACAACTGAGTACAGCAATGTCACGCACTGCAGTTTAAATTATGAACAACTTGTGCAAGAGCAAGTGCAATCAATCATCTGTTAATTTGTAATAATATAAGAAAATGAAAGTGATGCGAAGAAGTTTATTTTTTCCGTGGAACATGAACTCACCTTTGGATCGACGAATCTGCGCTCGGTAAACGGACAGACACCCTTCTACACCAATCAGAGAGCGTCAATTCCGCCCTGCGGAAAGAGCAGCTTTTTGACCAATAGCAGGCGTCGGATCGGCGCACGTGCCCATTTCGCGGCAAAAAAGATTTCGCGCGAAAACCGTCCAAGCCTTGTTTAGATGTAGATCAGCTGGGACAATAACAACAATAACAGCCGATAAAGAGGTCGCGACGGCGCTTTCACGTATGGACCGCTCCCGGTGCGAACAACCGAAGGACCGGCGGCTCCTGTTGTAAAGGATGCGTGTGTATTTCACCGCTTTATTCCTTTTATTTCCAGTTTTGTCGGACTGCTTCCTGCGTGCCCCAACAAAACGAGGGGGTTGAAGAACTGCGGCTAATAACTTAGCTAGCATGCTAATCTGCCATATAATTTCATATGTAACGATTTCTGTGTATTATCTGCTGAAATAGTGTCGCTCTCATACGTGTACTGTCAAAGATGCTTTTGAGATACGATGATGCCTTTTGCTTAGTAGGTATTTTATTTCGATAGCTTACTTCTGGAAAGCTGCTATAAAGTTTTAATAGCCTTTTAACTAAGCCCCGTCTCAGGCGTGAGGAGAAATAATACAGTTTTATAGACGTAAAGAGCTAGTTTAGTGGCTGCTCCGGGTTGTTTGTGAACTTGTGTCAGTCTGTGTTGTCAGGACAGAAGCTAGCTCGTTAGCAGGGTCGGTAGCTGTGTTGAGGGCAGTGTGGCCAGGCCTCGCGGCTGTACTGTACTGACAGGAGAGATGAAAACAAAAGATTAGCTTGCTCCCTTGCTAGCTCGCTAACCTCCAGTGTTTATTACTGCCACGGCCAATGCATGACTCTTTCTTTGATAACATATCAGCGGCCGAGCCTCGAGGCGCAGAGTTGGTAATGCATTTAGCAATATTATTTTATTTGTCAAATTTCCTGTTTGGCAGAACACCCTGTCTTGCTTTTTCACCATAAGTGTAAAATTGATTTAGCACGTCGCCTGCGATAGTTGTCACTTAAAGTTATATTGTTAGTCAGGGCATGTGTGTAGTAGCTTCTTTATAAACAGTAAGGCAGACAATAGAGAAAGAGAAGCATTTTATAGAGATGTTTGGGAACACCTGCAGGAAAACTTTCAGGAGGTTTCAACATTGTTCCTTAAATTCACTGAGTACAGCAAATGCAAGTAGGTGCTGAGCCTCTGTGTAACCACAGCGTCTTAGTTTGTGATCCCTCAGCCCCCCTCAAGTCCAGTGAAGGGGTACTCAGTGACACACTGCAATGTCAGAAACTCTGATAACAGGGCAGACATCGGAGGATCTGTTGGCCGACTTTGAGACTCTGCTGAACTCTGGCAGCATTGACCTGGGCGAGGACCATCAGATAGTGATCATCACCAGCCCCAGCAATGAGGGACTCCACCCGGCCGTGGCCCCCACCAGCACAGGGGAAATCCTGCTGTTTGCCACACCCCAGGGCCCCGCTGACGTGGGCATCCAGGACAAGAGACGACCGGCTCTGGGAAGACCTCCGGTGAGGAGAGAGGGATGTGGTGTGGGAAGGAGGGACAGGGACAGATGTAAGAGAAAGTGAAAGAGCGAGATGGGAAGTGGTTGGCTGAAGAGTTGTCTGTCAGCGTAATGCTTTAAAAAATTTACATAAACATGCATCTGCCTGCATAGCATAACTGTACAAATCCCTCCACCTGTTGCTTTAAGACATTTAGTTTTGCTTTCTATTCACCAGGGGATTTCTTTTCCAGTCATGTTCACTTTACTTTTCTCTTCTCAATACAGAATTAGTACATAATTGTAATAACATGTAGTTTATAATAATGGTAGGTTTTGACAAAGTATTTTTTTTTCTGCAAACATTTGTATTTGTTCAGGTGAAGAGAAAGTTGGACCTGGATAGTGACCATCAGTATGTCAGCACCACTCGACCGTCCGTGGGCCAAGCACCACCCTCCACACCTGCCCCTCCCAGAGGTACACACACACACACACACACACACACACACACACACACACACACACACACACACAAACTCTCAGCTGATTTGTCTTTCATTGTTACAGACATTCAGAAGCTCCACATCAGATGTGAGTGAGCACTCAATCCATCCATCCTGTCATCCATACTCTTACTTCACCACAACCCACAACTAGTAGAAATAATATAACTTTGTGGTCTGTTCGAGTCAGAAAAGATCAAGGGAGACAATGGTTATTATTATTTGTGTTTTCAATTATGTTGTTTTCTCCCTACCATTAACATTCACCAATCATTGTGGTTCACAAGCTCAAAACACAAAGTATGAGATTTGAATGGTTGCTTATTGGAGTCATGCTTTACTTCATGCCTTAAAGGGAAACAAGAACTTTAAGTGTAAAAGGTGGTAGTGTAGCTACCGATTATTTTCATGATCAAATAATCAATTGATGGTATATAACATTAGAAAACAGTCAAAAGAGGAAAAAAAGAAATGGCAGTTTATTTTCTTTCAATCAAATGATCATTGCAGATCTAAACGGCGGACAGGATCAGCTATTGACATCTGACACACGCATTTCTTAGAGTTAACATTAATGGACATATTTGTGGAAATCGAAGCGCCTGTGTTCTGTAGGACTGATCACTGACACACATCAGACAACGCCTTAATCACACCATCCACGTGGGTTTCTGTTGCACTTCCTCAGCATAAAAATCAGCATCTGGAACAGTGTCTGGAATAAAGTAGATATTATTTTAAAAACAAGAACATGCGAGAATTGGTTGTTGGGGAAGTTTCACACAGAATAGGACTGGAACTGAACTTTTTTACTACAAAACTGAAACTACTTAAAAAGTGACACGATTCATCCCAAATTCTCTCTGAAGTCACAGTGGTAGTGAAACCGAGAAGCTGCTGTGAATGGTGTGAATTTGAGGAGAAGCCGTTCAGCTTTTTATATATTATTCATCTGGCGTTCAAGTGTTTTTTGAATTTTATATTTATTGCCTCTCAAATTGCCAAAGACTTGATGTTTTGTACTGAAAGGGCATTTGTGATAGATTTCAGCATTTGCCTTCTGGCCATTTACCATTACCATTGTTCATAAAAAAAGAATGAAATATGTGCCAGAAACAAATCATGGCTCATAATGTGAAGCTTGTTTCTCAGAAACTCGGACGTGTATCTGAGGAAATACCTCCGTTCTGAGGTGATATGTTCATTAGGCTTCGGATGGCTGACATAGATAACATGTTTAATCAAAGTTATAAGCAATAAGCTGTAAGAACGCATGTAATTTGTGCTATAATGACGTTAACAAAAGTAAAATGACGGGCAGCTCCTCCGATGTAAATGTTTAATTTGATAGAACTGAATATCCTGGAAATATGAAAATCTGCAAATGACTGACATTTGTTTTTAATTAGATGTAAAGTATGATAAAGAATATTAACTAGCCAGTTAAAACTTAATGTTTCACTTAAATGTGATGTACAGTCATAATCCTTTACCCCTGTTCATCCACCAAACTCTCCCCTTTTTTGCCGTCAGTGGCTTTCATGACACACCACGTGTCTCATTTAATTCAAAACCTGGAAAAAAAAATTTAGATTCATTGACCTCCATTTTTGCTGTGGGCCAATAAGAAAAACAACCCAGTGTGGTTATAAGCAGAATTTCTAACTCTTTCCTTTTCCAGTTCCTAGAACCACCACAGAGAAGTCACGGTATGACACGTCGTTGAACCTGACCACCAAACGCTTCCTCAGCCTGTTGTCCCAGTCAGCTGACGGCGTGGTGGATCTGAACTGGGCCTCGCAGGTCCTGGACGTGCAGAAGAGACGCATCTACGACATAACCAACGTCCTGGAGGGAATACAGCTCATCTCCAAGAAGTCCAAGAACAATATCCAGTGGCTGTGAGTAAAAAATGTGACAACATGAAATTTGTGTGTGAGACAACATAATAGGCACAAATGAAAAAATCTGAAGACATGAATGAAAAGAAAATAAGCAGGAAGTACTGTGGCTGTTGTGTGTTTTACAGTCCATAAACCACTCATCTGTTTTTCTGTGCTGTCTTCCCCTGCAGTGGTAATCGAATTGATGCAGCATTGGTTTCCCGCCACAAGGAGTTGCAGAGGGAGGTGTGTGACCTCACAGAGGCTGAGGAGCAGCTGGACGAGCTCATTTCCAAATGCAACCTGCAGCTCCGACTTGTCACAGAGGACCCGCAGAACAAGAAATATCCTTTTGGCCACAATCAGGTGTCCTAACTGACACGGGCACTAGCTTCGACTCGTCAGACGGGTGTGAATGGAAAGTGATTCTAGCAGCAGCAGTGAAGCCTAATTGCTTCCACCACGTAGGGTATGTTTTCACCCTTGTCTGTTTGTTTGTTGGTGTCCCAGCTCTTTATTCTGAATACACAATTAAATAGCGCAGATGAACACAGGTCGACGTGCGCTCCGGTTGTGTCTGCAGCGCACTCTGCTCCAAACACGAGTCAGACTTGTTCAAACTGAGCCATTTCGATGGTGCACCGCTGTGTCTTCGCCCGCGAGCCCCAGCACACTTCTGCATATGAAGAAGAGGAGAGTAATTAGTCACCCAGATACAGCCGCGCACTTATTAACCCACCTCATCACTGCTCCCTGAGCCACGCTGCCACCCCCACACCCCGCAGCTGAGTATTTTTTTTTTCCATACAGTATTATGTGACCCAGATGTCTCTGGTCCAGTCCACGGAAGTTCGAGACAAATCTGAAGGAATAGGAGCTGGAAAGGATAGTTAGTGCCCTCTAAAAATGAAACTAAAGTAAAACAATAAAAGCTGGATAAATATGATATAACTGTCAAACAGAGCATGTAGATGTCATAGTAGTAGTGTACAGTAATCAGCCAGGTGCTAGCAGAGCAGGGTGTCATGTCGGTGACATTGTGCTGCGGCATCTGTTCCAGCTTGTTCTTCACATTCCTCCTCAAACTTTGTGATTTATTTAATTTTTCCCACTGCCATCAACAGCAAAGCTTTGTTCAGGGTGGTGTCGCAGCCATGGACTCCGCCGTTCTTAGTATGAGACCACTTGCGGCTGTGTTGTGCTCCTTAATTGTTCTGATCGTCACGCTGGGTTATGTGCGCTGCCAGGACCTGAGGAAGTCATTTGATTCCCCGGACCAGCTGGTGATGGTGATCAGAGCTCCACCAGAGACCCAGATGCAAGTTTCAGAACCCAGCGAGGTGCAGGCCTTAAAAATAAGTTTGAATGATACTTGTGTCTTTATTTTGAGGCCGTGAGTTTTTCATGTCTGTTTGTCCGCATCTCTCAGGGTTACCAGGTGTCGCTGAGAAGCACGCGGGGTCCAATCGATGTCTTCCTCTGTCCAGAAGACAGCTCCGGCGTCTGCAGCCCCATGACGGGCAGCAGTCCCTCGAAACCCGCCTCTGCTGACCCCTCCCTGGTCCCACCTCCCACACAACCCACGGACCAATCGCAAGCCAAAACCTCCACGACCCCCCTGGAGGTGGGTTTATCATCCCCAGCGTCGACATCGTCCACAGTGACGGCAGCCTCCCAGCAGGAGCCCTCATCACTGGTGTTAGGCGGTTACACAGGTGAGTGTCGTTTAATGATCATACATCTAATTAAAAAGTATCAGCTTCATGTCAGTTACAGTGGATTCATATTAGAACAAAGATAATACATCTCTTCCCTTTCGTACTGTCTTCTGTAACAATGTGCCCCGAGTCATACGGTAACATTGTATCATATTAAAAGCAAAAATTGTGGATAGTGTGCACATCCAAGCTCAGCTGGATACAAGTAGAGGACAGCAAACAGCAGCGAAGGAGCTATTTGTATGTTTTGCTGTTGCTACAGAGTTAGCGTTAGCATTAACAGTTGTTTACTTACCAGTCTAGAAGAAACTTTACAAGTCCAGTGTCAAACTTCAAAACCAAACCAGCAGCTGTGTCCAAAGGTGGAAAGCAACAACTCTTGTCTCTATCACGTCTTTTCTTCCTCTGAAGTTAGCACGCTAACCAGCTAGCCCCGGCCCGTCTCGTCACTTTCCGATAGCGAGTCACTGTAGCCTCCAATCTGCCCTGAAGAGGTAGCGCTGCTCAGAGCGCCATGAGAATGAATGGAGGGTGTTTTTAAAAACATCACTTACTTTTTTTTTCTTGAATGTTTTCCCCCCTTCAAACTTTAATTTAATAGGGCTTCTTCACCTCAGACATTTCAACACCACAGGTATTACTAATATTGTTAAAAATGGTTTGGGGGTTTTGTTCCATTTAAGTGCCCAAGTGAGTGAGCATAAACTGTATAACTGTAATATATTGCATGGATCCTGGAACTGACACACCTGGAACACCTGGAATGCAGACACCATCAATCCTTCTAGCAACATTTCTGCTTTTTCCTGCTGTGACATGTCAAAGTGTCCGCTGTGAAAAAGGCCTCTATGAAAGAAATCTGTTACAGGTGTGATATGTACAAAATGAAGACGGTTAATAAGGAGAGTCAGTTGATCAATCATTAGTAGATCATTAGTCTACCTATCAAAACCCAGCACAGACCAGTGTTTTTTACCTTTTACTTTCTACGACAGAATCGCTTCTGGGAGGCGATCCCTTCTCCGGCCTCGGGGACATGCCAGACTTTGACCTCTCACCCCTCTCCTCCTCGGACTTCCTGAACGGAGAAGGCCTCCATCTCCCATTGGACGGTTTCATCAACCTGTCCCCCCCCCACAGTCACGACTACCACTTTGGACTGGAGGACCACGAAGGCATCAGCGAACTGTTCGACTGTGACTTTGGCGACCTGTCGCAAGTTTTGGGCGACAGTTAGACGAAAAGAAGAGGAGGAGGAGGAGGAATGTGGGAAAATGATCAAATTTAGGACTAAATGAGGCCTGGAAATCAACATTTTATGGACAAAATGTTTGTTAAGAAAAAAAAACAAAAAAAAAAAACCGCACAGGCTTAATGTAACCTTAAATTTGGGGATGGATGAAAATTATTGGCGGATAAATTGCCTGTGAAATGCCCCAAGTACAAAATCTTAAATTCCCCCCAGATTGTACAGCACATTATTAGCACTTCTTCTTTGGCAAATTAAACATTTTAGACCAAGACTTTAGCTTTAGCCTAGCTATTTAAATTATTTATATGAATGTTATTTTGATATTTTGTACTAAGTGAGGTTCTTGTTGTTATTGATGATGTTTTATCCAAGTGGATTGTGCAGGTGTTTGTGTGTGTGTGGAGTATGGACTCATTGGGCTGGTTTCCTTAACACTGATTAGTTTGCATGCATAAGGCTCGGCTCCTTAAATGGCTCAGTCTGAGGGGGGAAACGGTTTGCATCACGCAGCTTCAGGCTGGTGCTGCTCTAATGAAACCAGGATTAATATTAGCACAGATCCATTTGCCGGGCTTTCTGAAAGCGTCTTGGAGCTGTGGTGTAGTTTCACACTCTTTTTCTTTTTTCTTTTTTTCACAATAATGGTCAATATAAGCTTGAAACTAAAGTCAAAGTCTTCTCCCTCACAATTAATTTGTGTCTAAAACTGGAATCCTGAAAAGCTGGATCCTCCTAACGCCCCAGGTCCAGACTAGATTTGCACATGTTCCTCAGCCTCCCAGTTTGTAATGAACGGCTGATGGTCTGTTTTCAGCCTTTTTTCAGGGGGGTGAACACAAACTAAGAACTAAGATGAACCCTCAACTTTCTTCAAATAAGGTAAAAGGGTTACCATGGCGTTTTTTAATATTTGATTTATTTTTCTTCACATTGTCATGTTTCCACATTTGTCCTTTAGCTGTCCGGAGTTTGGAAGGAAAAATAAGCAAATTAAAGTTGGTGTGTAGGAAACCAGGTGATGATAGACTGCTGCAGTTATGCTAGCGGGTGAAAACTAATACTGAATATGTTGTTCTCTATTAGTTAGCTAGGCGTTTAGCCATAGTCTCAGGTGTTCGGAGCAGAGCAAAATCTGAAATCGACGTTTTTGATGCAACATGAGAGTGACTGTTTTAGATGTGTTTCACAGGTGACGTGTAGGTTGACAATAGATTCTTACAGTTTTAGAAAGCGCTGGAAGGTGGTGCACGAGGTTCTTTTTTTTTTTGTTTGTTTGTTTGTTGGTTGGTTGGTTTTTTTCAGCCGGGGGTTCAGGTGAGAAAACTTCAGCAGATCCTCACAAGCCGTTCACTCTTCATCGCATGTTTTCTGAAAGCATTCTCTCTATGGTTTATTTATCATTCAAGGGCAAATTAAAGCACAGCTGCATCTTTACTTTTATCAATCTAATCAGTGTAGAACAGTGATTGCTTCAGGAGGAAGTTAAGTGGAAGTGATGGGCTCTCACTTCAGCTATATGCACATCAGATCAGTTCAGGAAGTTAATGTTCAAGCCTTAAATCTATGACCTTTACCAAGTAAAGGGACGCACATCTTAGTCTCAGCCCAAAAAGCATTAATTCCTGCTTGTTTTTCCACTGTAGTCGCGTCAGGCTTCGTGTCCACATGCTACTACACATCTTGTTTGTGTTTCTGTTGAAACCACATTGATTTTTCAATTGAATTAAGCAGCAATAACATGTTCTCTCATCATGTGCTCAGTGTGAGATGGAAAACTGTCCTGCTACGTGTTGTGTGTTGTCGTCGTCGTCGTCGTGATTGTTGTTGTTAGAAATGTCTGCATCAAACTTTTTTTTTTCTCTTGTTCTAAGTTATGTAAGCTAACATGTTTTTGCATTCCTGAAATGTAGGAACTTAATGTGTGTGTGTGTGTGTGTGTGTGTGTGTGCGGGTGCATGTGTGTGGGGAAAAAAAAAACAAAAAAATACAAGTTGTTTTGTTGAATTTCATATTTATTTAAAAAGGAAAAAAAAGTTTTAATAGAAAAAATGGTACAAAATTTTTTTATTCATTTTCTGGCAGGAAGGGACTTTATACCCATACTTTTATTTTAAGTCATGCTTTGTTTAATTGTCCTTCACTGGTGAAAAGAAGAATTTTGTTTTGTAAATTAGCTTCTCATTAGTAGCACATTTACATTTTGCCATGTTTTTTTTCTTTTGTTTTGTTTGTTTGTTTTTGTTTTGCCCTTATGGAGAATATATATTTTCCTATCTTACCTTTTGTGCATGTGCAACCTTCGCATTGGCCAAATGATGCCAACAAATATTTTTCAAGGGAAATTCACAAATAGAGTATATTTGTCATTTTTGACTTAATGTGACTTAATGTGTAACTTAATTCTTCAGGCCCTGCCCGGTCGCGGCGCGGTCAGTCACTTCAGTGTAGGTTATTAGATATCGCAGTTGCAGGCAACATTGCTGTTCTAAGGTTGTACATGTATTGTAGTGTAGCCCTTGGGTGCCTCATGTGAATGTGTGAAAACCTTGCAACCGCAGCCATCTTTTCTTTTCGTTTGTTATGTTTGGAAACCTTAAAAATCCAGCGTATAATTTTATCAGCATCTGACAAGTTTTTTTTTTTTTTAAACTGACAGCATCTTTATAAGCCACTGAAATGCGAGGCTTCCTAGAATGTATCTTATGGTATCTTTTTTTTTTTTTTCCTGTCTCGGTCTTCAGCTTCCACCGGCGGCTGAAATGATCGACCGAACGTGAGCAGTTCATGTCGCCAGCCTTTGTGAAAGTTGTGTGATGTTTTGGTTCTCTGCAGGACGGATGCAGTGCCTTGTTTGGCGTAAAATATGAATTGTTAACAATTGTCAAATGAGGATTAATTACTCTGTGCGGTCACGGTGAAAGAATGCAGTTTTGTTTCGGGAAAAGTTCAAAGATAACAACATTTGCACCTTTTGTTTGAAATCGAATCTCCTTCAGTTAAAACTGCAGAAGGAGACGATGAGTGGGATATTTTTGAAATAATGGGTCGGAGCTCGATTGAATTCATCATGAAATATAAGATTTGATCCAAATGATGTAACACTATCATATCTCTATAAAAAGGTGTTTCTCCATGTGTTGAAGTCACTGTTGGGACACAAAGGTTTTAAGCTCAGTCCGCCGACAGAGGCTATGACATTTGCTTTAACAGAACAAAAGCGAATTGACTCCAATGACTCCTGATTTAGTTGCTGTTCAAAATGCTTTTAAGGGAAACTGTGGCTTATCCAGCAATTTAACAATCAATCACTTTTTTTCTTTTTTTACAAATTTTATTATCTGTTGCTACATTCTGGGTTAAAAAAAAATACAGGTTTGTACTTGTGAATTATTAATGGGCTCCAATATGCCCTTTTGTATCACTTTTTCTTTGACAAAAATAAAAAATTAACTATTTTGATTTGACTCATTAGCATGTCGTTCTGTAATATGAAAGAGGATAAAACATCAAACCCATTTTAAGAATGGGTATTAGCGCCACACTGAGGAAGAAAAAGAAAGTTTCTCCTTATTTTTGAAACCTAAAGTAGAACTTCACAGGACGCTCCACGTTCCTCATTTTAAAGCTGATATTTCCACTCTGAACCAGCATGTAACCTAAAATTACCACTTTTTCTGCAATATCATGATTTTATTCTCAAAATTACGACTTTATTCTCATAATTTCATTTTTTTCCTCCTCAATGTGGCTCTAATACTCCCTCTGTCGTACCATTTAACCATTTGCATTAATTAATGAGTAAAACTGTGTTTAAACTCACATTTTAAAGACCTGGTTCTTCGCAGTAACAGACAGTTGCGTAGTTTTTAATTCAGTTTAATAAACAAATTGTAACTCCAAATATCTTACAGGCATGGACAGCTGGACAGCTGCTGTGTGCCGACACCTCCACACCCCTCTGATGGAGGAGCAAGACCCGCAGACCGTCTGTTCGTGGTCGTTTTGTGTCTCTTTGTGGTTGTTTTTACGTCTTTGTTGTCGTTTTCCGCCTCTTCTGTCGTCACTTTGTGTTTCTTTGTGGTCGTAGAGTCGTTTATTCACTTTCCGACCAGAATTGTTTTAAAAAAAACAAACAAAAACCCATGCTTCTTGTATTTGAGGGAATACACATTATCTTACAATTATCAAAATGATGGACTGAGATTTTTACTGCCATAAAAAAAAAAACTGTCTCACCTATGCAGCTAGAGGGAGCCCTTCACCCACCACAGCACAGAGAGGACAGGAAACGAGCCGAGAAACCATCATATGAGGTAAAGGTAAGTAAAGTAAAGGTAAAATATGACCTTACTCAGAGGTAGTAGTAGTGGTGTAGTAGTGTTTATTACAGGGCTGTTGTGCTGAATTGATTTTACATTGCACAGGAGTTTGTGTTTTTCCAGTTAGCTGTATTTTTTATCACCGAGGTTGTTTTGTTTTATTAAATCCTAATGATTTTGAATCTCGTTCTGCTGAGTTTGCAAACACTTTGAGTCAGTTAAACTTCAGGTGTTAAAAGAAAAAAAGTTTGACATCATATGAAACATGAATATGTCTCATCTCGTTTGTTTAATCCACACGAAAACCAAAAGATTAAATGATGAGGCCCAGAACTTTCTTTCTTTCTTTCTTTTTTTTATTTTAAATGTAGATTGATGCGTGTAAAGTGAAGTAATGTGGGTCGATCCAAGTTGTCGTTCCCTCAGGCACCTTCACTTCTTCAGAAAAAGGTGTGAACTGGGTGTGTGACCCTCAGCTTCGTTGGTAATGAGATAAAGGTCGTAATTATAATGACAATTTGTGTCCAACTCTACATGTCATCATAAATTATAATGATCTCAGTGTGTGTGGTCTTTTTTTTTTTTTAAATTCAGTGTAATAACTAAAACTTAAATCCCAGCTGTTTGCAGCTCTGAAATGGACGGGTTATGAACAGCAGCTGGGTGCAGACATGTAAAAGCGCCTCTGATGTAGGAACAAGACCCACAGACTGTCTATTTGTGGTCATTTTGTGTCTCTTTTCTTGTTTTACATCATTTTCTTTTTTTTTTTTTCAGATTGCAACCCCTGAAGTGAGAAATCCCAGTCATATTTACCTACATGTTTCTCATGATTAATTCTGTGGCAGAATTGGTTTAAAAAGCTTTTTTAACCAACTAAAAAAAAAAAAGTAGCTTTCATTTTAACTTGCGAGACCACCAGTGTTGCATATTATATATATATATATATATATATGTATATGTTTTAATAATCGTTAAATTGATTGTTAATGGGGTTTCTCTCGCAGCTGTAGACGACAGCGTGTGGAAGGTGGCACAAGAATCGTGATCGTCAGTGTCAACAAGGACAGATGACGCAGCGTGGGGGGCTTTATCTGTGTGTGAGTCGATCTTAGTTGTCACTCTTCCACTGAACCAACACTTTTCTAGAGAAAGGTGTGCGTGGGTGTTTGACTGCTGTATATAACCGATAATTATAATTGACACACACTCAACTTTATATGTCGTAATTAATCATGATCTCAGTGTGTGACAATTTTCAGAAAAACCTGCAGAGGTGAGTTTCGGCGTTCTTCAATTACTCAGTGGGTGTGTCCTTGTTTCATATTACATGCTGGTTCTATGCAAATTTGAACTTGAATCAGTTCCAGAAAAGACAGATCCCATGGATAGACTGTGCATGCAGAAATGCCCTTTTTTTAATGAATAAAATAAATAATTAATATAGATTTAAATGTAATATATGTACGTATATGGAAACAGACCTCGGACGTCGCCCGGGTCAACAAGGTCCGCGTCAGGTGTTGGGGAACCAGGGCATATACCAGTCAGTAGTCTTATTTACAGTAATATGACAAGTTGAAAGATTAAAATCATCATGATTATATCATTTTGCAAACAACCACTAATTGTACAAACTTGAATGTAAAACTTTATTACTAACAGGAAAACAAACCCCTAAACCCTAAAGGGGCTCCCACATACCTCAGGTTTATTCTGGCACTTTGTTTGTATAAATAAATCCTTTTTTTTTTTTTCCTTTTTTTTTGCACTACATTATATTAAAAAGTTTCTGATGTTGTATTCTTTACACCTTAATAAATAATGTAATCTAACAAAACAAGCAGCTGTAAGTGTTTTTACAGGACTGATGAACTGGATTGATTGATAACAGTGAACAGGACTGACCTGTCCAGTCACTTCCTGGTGAATCAAGTCACGGTGACTTGAAATGTTGTTCTGTTAAGTCATGAATTAAGACAGTGTGTCTTCATACAGACTGAACAAAATGAATGTGTTTCACCACCATGACTGTTTGTTAGAGAACATTATATGAGTTAAATTCTACCCATGACATGCTGCTGCTCACCGAGCTGGACTCTGTCGGGTTAATGATTGTTAAAGAATAATTGTATAGTATAAAGTTTGTTCCTGTGGACCACAGTGTGCAGGATATATATATGTGTGTGTGTGTGTGTGTGTGTGTGTGTGTCATACAGTGGTGGGTTGATCACAGGGAAAGAGTGAGATGCTAATCAGTGGGGGGGCGGAGCATGCTTTTTGTTCCCTCCGTCACTTACAGCTCCTGCTGTCACACCATGAACTGCATGCAGCAAACACAGAACTGTGGTGAGTTTGTTCTGGAAATCGTGCTTAACCTCAAGCTTTTTCTTTTGTCCAGAGAAGGACGCGTGCATGTTTCTGAGTTACTTTAAAGTTACATTGACTTTTGTTTGAGAGTTTTGATGTAATTTTACATAAACTTGTCATTTAATACTCAGCTATCTCATTTCTGGCCTGACAAGAAACTTTCTAACAAACTTTGATGAACCTTTAAGTAGATAGACAGAATATTCCATTGAAAAATCTCTGTGTGTTTCTTTGTTTTACTATTATTACTCATGTATTTTAGTAAGTAAAGATAATGAATGCACAAAGACAGGCTGTAAAGCTGGGAATGTAAACAACAGTTGTAAAGCAGAATGCAGAATGTGAAGATGGTATTTTAAAGTTATGTGACACAGAGTCAGAAAAAACTCAGAGCTGACAACACTTACTTATTTCATTATTTTCCTGAACTAAATGTATTGTTTTGTATGTTCTATTAACACTGTGCTCCAGAACTCCTCTCTCCCCTTCTTCCCCCATGCACATCTTTTACTTGAACTCCACGGCGCCATGCCTCTATAATGTTTTTCCTACAGTCTCGAGATCAGTGTGGATTTCATAATACATCATCTGTTCTTCCAGGCGTTGCCTACGACCTTTGCCAACTGAAGTTAGTCAACTTTGAGGCTCATGATAACCACCTTTACCATGAGACGCAGGGGTTCAGCGAAAAGCACCTGGTGGTGCGACGTGGGAAACCGTTCAAATTCACCCTGATGTTTGATGACAAGTGGAGTCCTTACACCGAGAGCCTGGTGCTGGAGGTTCGGCTAGGTATCGAATCCATCTGCTCACATTTTAAGTAAAATTGTTTGAGATGTCGCTCTCCAACCGGAGACACAGATAAAACTGAACTAAAACTTGTGTTTCTTTGCTTAACAATACTATGATTATTATTATATTATTATTGGTAGTATTATTATTATTTTACTGTTTTTGGAGGGAAAAATAGAGGATTATTAGACTGATAAGATGTTGCACTGGGTTGATCAGATATTAAGTTAGCAGATAAAGACAGGCAACAAAATAAGGCGCAAATTTGTACTGTGTCTAGTGTTGTATTGTTTTGTATTTTATTGTTTTTTGACATGGACAAGCAAAAGTACATCAACTAGTGTTAAAAAACAATAGGATGTAATAACAGGAACTACGTATCTGTCTTTTCTTTTCCAAAGGATGCAGACAGGTAAATGAGAAAAATTAGATATTACACTACCACACTGCTACTGTCACTTCATACCAGCTGACCACGCCCACTTAAGAGACGGGAAGTGTCATAATTGGGCCATCTTTGTTATAAAGCATCTTTGTGGTGGCTAATATTAGCAAACTTTGAATATGCATCACTGTATTATTGATGTTACTGAGTCAATTCCAGATGCCAAAATGATCTCTTCATTCAAACGTTACATAGTCCTGCTGATTCAATTCTCATTCACCGTACAGGCAATATGGCTTGGAAGGCCCCAGTCCATTTTGCTGATGAACAGTTCTGCACCCAGCGTTGGACCGCCAAAATCTACCCCGGCAACATGCATTCTGAGTCGGTCACCATCCACTTATGCTCCCCTGTTTTGTCCTCGGTGGGTGTATACGACCTCCTGCTCCACATAGAGACCACACAGTACAGGAGGAGCTACGCAGTGGGAGTGTTTGTGCTGCTCTGCAACCCTTGGCTGATACGTGGGTCCATGAAGTCAAACTCCTTCTTGTTATGACTACAGTTTTCCTATTAACCGGTCATAGAAGTCATTCATATGCCACTGCCATTGCTTTTCAGATGATCCGGTGTACATGCAAGACAATGACGAAATACAAGAGTACATCAAGAGCGATTATGGGGTGATCTTCATGGGCACCAATCTAAACATCTGTCAGCGTCCCTGGTCATTTGGTCAGGTATGTGACAATCGTGTAGCTATCGTGAACGGATCTTGTATAATCACAGCATTATTTGCAAGATTGCATTTGTTTTCCACATGTGCAGTATGAGCCTGGGGTCCTAGAGGCATGTCTGAAGCTCCTGCAGATCAGCCCGCAGCACTTACATGACAAATTCAGCGACTACACCCATCGAGGGGACCCTGTCTACATTAGCAGGGTGGTCTGTGCTATGGTGAGAGACAACACTCACAAAAACTGTATATGTATGCACATGCATTCCCTCTCATGCCAGATTTGTGACAAATATTATCAATAACATGAATAGAGTTTATTGAGGAACAGTTTTCTCTGCAGTTTCACAGCAAAGACAGAAAGAAAGGTCAGTAATGTGTCTCCTCCTGTCAAAGGTGAACTGTCAGGATGACCTGGGCATTCTGCAGGGGAAGTGGCAGGGCAGCTGCGAAGATGGCGTTAGGCCGACAGAGTGGAGCGGCAGTGCTGACATCCTTCAGCGCTGGGTCTCATCCAACTTTAGCCCGGTGCGCTATGGACAATGCTGGGTCTTTGCGTCTGTCCTCTGCACAGGTACTTTGAATAACCGGGACACACGAGTATATTTATGCCAAAATCACTGGGTAACATTTAAGTTTTACTGAACGTATCTCTATCACAGAGTCGTCACCCTACATGGCCTCAAAGGTCTCAGTCGCTTCCAATATTCCTGATAAGCTAAGCTAATAACATACAGCTTTTTTTATACTACATAGTTGTGATACTTGCATCTAGTTTATTGCATATAATTTATTGGTTTTATTCCAGTTATTAGTCTCTCGTCCTTTCAGAGAGCAAATTAGCAAAGCGAAACATAAGACCTTAACTAACAACATAAATTGCGAGATAAACATAATGAGTGCAGGTGATCTGCTACAGGGCAAGAGAATGGTTGAAGTATAAAAATGAGGTGCATCATATGCTATGGTCTTCACAGCAACAAAATCACAAACTGACTGAACACCTGTGGGAGATTTTGCAGGACAAATGAAAGAATGTTTTTTTGCTTACCACGCAGAGAGGAGCAAATGAGAAGCTACTATCAAACTGCATTATGGGAAGTGTAGGATACAGTCTCCCAACTGAGGGGATACATGCTGATCTTGTTTATACTAAACGTGAATATTAAGAAATCATATATGTTACCAAAAAATGACAAATAAATAAACATAAAATAAGAAAATGAAAAGTAGTAAACCAACAGATACCATGGATGGATGGTCAGATACCAATAGAACTTGGTTTTCTTTGGTTTGTTTTTTTTGTATTTTGTTCTTTTGGATACTTCATTTGATGTCTTTTATATTTTTATTAAACAGGGTTAATACTTCAGGCCTTAATTCGATAATATAAGTGAGGTTTTCTTTCTTTTCCAGTGATGAGAGTGCTGGGCATTCCCTCCAGGGTGGTGACAGTTTTTAATGCAGCCCATGACTGTAACGCCAACGGGAAAATTGAGGAGTATTACTCAAGCACAGGGGAGAAGCTCAACATGTCAAGAGACAGCATTTGGTTGGTGTCACTTGCTTTCAAACCCTAAAGATAACAGTTGGTATTTTAATTGCTTAGTTATCAGTTTGATCTGACAGTTTATAGTAATAGACTTTTCTTTTGACTGTTTTAACATGAACTTAATGAATGTTTTATATTAACGTGTGTGTGTGTGTGTGTGTGTGTGTGTGTACTGTATGTCCTGCAGGAACTTCCATGTATGGGTGGAGTGCTGGATGAGAAGACCAGACCTCAGTGGAGAGTTTGACGGCTGGCAGGTAGTGGACCCGACCCCCCAGGAGAAGAGTGCAGGTGGGTTCCCTGCCCCCAACAGGGCCTCAACTAATGTTAATGTTATTTATTTGGATTACAATAACAGTTAAAGATTTGGACATAAACATCGATTGGAAAGAACAGGATAAGGCGACTGATTGTTGAGTGTTAAACATGTGTCTCTGCAGGGACATACCGCTGTGGCCCTTGCTCAGTAGCTGCGGTCCAGCACCGCGTCCTTGGCAACGCATTTGACACGCCGTTCATATGCGCCTCAGTTGACGCCGATGTCGAGCGGTTGATTGTGCGCAGTGGAGCAGTGGTGTCGAGGAAGGTGGATAAGGAGGCGGTGGGGCAGCTGATCTACACCAAGAGCATCGGCTCGGACGGCCCAGAGAATCTGACACAAACTTATAAGAGCAAGAGATGTAAGAGAAGGTCCTGTGTCTTTGAGACGGTATCAATGTTGTTTGTCTTCTTTAATCGATTAATGCAAGTGCAATATGAAGAGACAGTTGAAGTAGGGTATGTTTTGTCTTTGTTTTCCACATATGTGACAGAGTTTTTCTTCACATTTTCTGTTCTTTTTTTTCAGGGAAGTTCCAATCAAGTCACTCTGAAGGTAATAAAGCATCTCCACCCTCCTTTCGACCATGAAACACATGATACCTGAAAACTGAGTGAACTTAATGTGCAGTTGAAGGATAACAGAAGGAGAAACGGTGCATAACTGGGAAGACAAAAACAAAAGTTAATGTGGTGACATTCCGATGTAAATATAGATTAGATTCTGTCCATCAGTGAGACGCACTAAATGCAACACTCCACAGTTTCTGAATATTTTTTTATGCTTGTTTTTGATAGAGACAGTAGAGACAGACAGGAAATGCAGGGAGGAGGTAGGGGAAGCCGGGAGTCAAACCGGGAACTTGCTGATCAGGGCATTTGAGCCCATGTGGTACACGCTCCTAATCATTCGGCCATCATCACCCCAGTTTCTGTATAATTCTGAGACAAGAACGGAGCAATGAAACTGCATGACCGACATCATTTTATGTGTCTTACAACATGTGGTCTAGCTATGCCTCTTGATGAACTCTCAAGCATTTCGCTGTTTAGATTTTGATGCTCTTGCTTTTTCATAATTTCAAAATATCAATTTTGTTTTACAGGAGACAGGATGATGAACCGTTCATGTCTGATGCCCACCAACGAAGGAGGAGGTAAGCTTTAATACTACTCATACTGTCAAAAAATCAAATATATGTATATATGTGTATATATGTGTATATATGTATCACTGCTTTGGCTTCACTGGGAAGACAAAAACAAAAGTTAATGTGGTGACATTCCGATGCAAATATAGATTAGATTCTGTCCATCACTGAGACGCACTAAATGCAACACTCCACAGTTTCTGAATATTTTTTTATGCTTGTTTTTGATAGAGACAGTAGAGACAGACAGGAAATGCAGGGAGGAGGTAGGGGAAGCCGGGAGTCAAACCGGGAACTTGCTGATCAGGGCATTTGAGCCCATGTGGTACACGCTCCTAATCATTCGGCCATCATCACCCCAGTTTCTGTATAATTCAAAGACAAAAACGGAGCAATGAAACTGCATGACCAACGTAATTTTATGTGTCTTACAACATGTGGTCTAGCTATGCCTCTTGATGAACTCTCAAGCATTTCGCTGTTTAGATTTTGATGCTCTTGCTTTTTCATAATTTCAAAATCTCACTTTCTTTTACAGGAGACATGATGATGATGAACCGTTCATGTCTGATGCCCACCAACGAAGGAGGAGGTAAGCTTTAATACTACTCATACTGTCAAAAAATCAAATATATGTATATATGTGTATATATGTATCACTGCTCTAATATCAATATTAGAAGTAGTAATACTAGTGTGATGACTCCCTCATCCATTCATTCAACATTTTGTTTTCTATCAAAGGCAAAGCTTTTCATTGTGGCTTGTGCATTTAGTTTTCAGGCTAATCCAAATTCAAAATAATTTATTCGTCCCTCCAAAGCATGCTGTTTAAGATGACAGCTTTCCAGTATATGAAACATTTTCCTTTTAGTCTGAATGCATGCAGCTTGCACTGATTATTAGGAGCAGGTAATTTGCACAAATGGCCCATCGGTAATAACATTTGCATTGTAATGATATGTTCTTTTTGTTTAATGTGTTTTGTTTCACCCTGACATCTTAAGGCTTTTTAGCTTGATTAATGAACATGCCAGCCACAGTTGCCCTCGTTGAGTATACTGTATGGGCTTGTATCTTGCAGTTGTCTCCACCGGGAGGTCAGAGGTTAAATGTGCTTCAGAAAAGCAATATTTGAAATATTTTACAGTGACACTGGCCTGAACGCTATAGTTATTGTTTCATGACCTGCTAACTGTCTTGGTTAAACTTATATTATGGTTTGGTACAAAACAGTTAAAAAAGCTCACAGGTGCACTCCATAAATTCTGCATGTCAGTGTCCATGATTTTTGTTCTGTCACAGAAAAATAAACATTGATCACCTTGATCAGCTATTGAAGATACAAACCTGTAACTTTTTAATTACTTTTTTATTTCTCATTTTATGCAACAGGTATGGCCTCCTGCTTTACGGTTGTGCATTTGTTGCATTAAAGGAGCTATTTATAAGTTCTGCTATTGCTGCACAGCTAACGTTAGCAGTAACAGCTGTTTACTCACCAGTCTAGAAGAAATGTCGCAAGTTCGGCATCAAACTTCATTCCTTTACTCACCAAGAGCTGTCTCCAGACGTGGAAAGTAACGCCAATGTCAACTCTGAAGTTAGCACGCTAACCAGCTAGCCCTGGCCCATCTTGTCACTTCCTGATTGCGACTCAGTGTAGCCTCCAATCTGCCCTGAACACTTATAACCTCTTGTCTTGTAAATGCAATGATGGACGAAGCTCTTGTTAAGCGACAATCACCACCACCTGCCCCCAAAAACTTACAAATAGCTCCTTTAAAGAAACTGTTCATTGACATTTGATGAGTGGGACCCATTCTACTGAAGATGTGGCTATATTATTAATTTTATGCACCTGTGACTGGGGTTTCCACATATATTTGTCTATAGTGTTATAGATATAGTGCAAACACAAAAAACATGCGTTCTAGGACTAAAAGTCTCACCAATAGCACTAGTATGTCTTTAAAGTATTACAAATGCAAACGATGTGCACATCTCCCACATTCAGACTCGTCATCTAGTTTGGAGGTGTCCCTAAAAATAGATGGGGAGCCAATCATGGGTGAGAGCATTCGCGTGTGCGTGACGGTCACAAACCAGACAAGCAACCCCAGGGTCCTGATGGAATACCTCAACGCTCAGATTAAAGAGTACAACAGTCACGCACATGAGAGCTTCTGGAAAACACATAAGGAGGTGCACCTAATGCCGCATGACGGTAAGGAGGCCTGTAACTCTCCATATACAAACACCTTCTGATTGATTAGCTTCTTTTTTCTTTTTTTTATCCTCTCACCTTCATTTTACCACATCCTTTACTTTCCCTGCAGTCCTGAAACTCCAGCACACCATCCCTCCCTCTGAGTATGAGTTGGCCGTGGCAGGTGACGACATTGTGAATCTTGCAGTGGTGATAGAGGACGTGGGGACTGAAGAAAGAGTCTTGGATTCACAGGAGTTCAACCTAACCTCGCCAGAGATAAACATAGAGGTACAACAGCACCCAGCCTCCTCCCTTCTCTTCAGCTCACAGAGTATTATGAATTAATTATGTTGCGTTGTCTTCTTCTCTTTATATTTTTCATTTTCTTCACTTTGATCTCCTTCATGCTTGTCACTGTTATGAGTTTAATGAAGAGCAAAGACAGAAAACATATCAGAGAAACATCCCACCCCCCTGTGCATCTGTGCCACCTGTGACCTAAATCTAATTACTTATCACACTGACTAATTGTATCATAATGACATTCAACTGTCAGTATGTTGGTTTTGTGCTGAAAGTTTTCTTTTGAGCAAAAAAAAAATACAAATTCTGCTCCCTTTGCTGAATCCAGACTTGAGATAGATGGTAAACAAAAATGGTCACATGTTGCATGGTCACATATGTTGGTAGTGCAATCACTACTTCAGCTTAAAATGAAAGTGACTCCATTGCAACATATACAGAGGATATCAAACATCTCCTTAGATCGAATGAGGTAACTAACACAGTTAGCATTCTTAATCATAAGTATTTTGCAATAACCTTGTATATCATAGTTTTGCTGCATATTTCATTGATATCAGTGTTCAAAAATGTCAAATATGTGGGTTTTTATTAGGAGCCTTCTGACCTCTGATTTAGCCTCCACATGTGCCACATGTGCAAATAATTTGCGCATCTCAGTTCCCACCAAAAACAATGCATTTAGTTTCGGCAGTGTTTGTTCATTTGTTCATTCTCACCCACTTAGTAATGGTATGCAACTCAACATGCTGATTCTCTGTTTACTAATGTTGTTGAAACACAGAACACAGCTGAGTCGTCTGTATATGTAACTACATCAGAATTTTTTATGTGTGGTTCAAAGATTTGAAATAAAAGTGGACCCAAGCTTCTGCCTTGTTGAACACCACAAGACAATGTTTTGTTGTCAGAGCAACCGCCATTGAAAAAATACTGTTGTGATCCACAACTATATGTTTTTATCTGCTGGAAGCATGAACGCACATAAACATTTTTTACTTTGATTAGTTGCCGATGTCAGATGTGATTTTTGATGAAATTCTGAAACAATTGTAAAAAAAAAAACACAAATGAGGACTCAACAGCACAAATCAGAAACAAGGGCAGAGCTCAGTGATCAGTCTTTACATGCTGAAAATGGTTCTGTACACGGGCAGACAGCCAGTAGAGCATGAAACTAAACTAGAGCTGAGTCCAGGAATTGTGCAAGAATCATAAGGAAAACAAACACCAGGAAATAAGCCTGAATATCCCAATGCATAGGACAAAGACGAATTGGTGCAGAGGAAGCGGAGCACAAAGACTAAATAGACTAGGATTGGGAAGACGGTGACACACAGGTGAAACTAATAAGGGCGGGGCAGATGATCACAGCGGCAGGAAATACGCAAAGGCAGGGAAATAGAGGACATGTGAGTAACAGAAAAAAAGGAAATAATAAAAAGTATGAAACAAGGAAAACATGACCTTAAGACCCAAAGCGGGACATGACTAATCCTATTTAATGGCCACTAAGCACAACGTGGACTAAAGTTTTGAGCACCAGAACTCAATATTGAGTGAGTAGATGATTTTATCGTCCGGTATCTGATAATGTAACCTGCTGTTCTGCAGATCGAGGGAGGGGACAGCATCCAGATGAGGAGTGAGCACACAGTCCAGGTGTCCTTCACCAACAAGTTCACCAAAGCTCTGCGTGGAGCTGTTCTGACTGTGGAGGGATCTGGCTTGTTGAAAGGCAAACATGAGGCCAGGTGAGTCTGTTCAGTCACTGAGTGAGTTTGCCCCCTGGTCACATTCCAGTGACGTATATCTTTCATTTATGTTTGAGCTGTGAAGAAAACATTGATGTGTGGTTTGAGTGTCTGAGGAATGTGGTATGGGAATGCGGTCAGGTAAGATTTTGCAACAGAGAACAAAGCACCATCACACTCTGGGGTTAAATTTACCTTTATACTCATGCAACGATCTCCTCCTCTTTTTCTCTGCTTATTTCTACTTCAAAATTTCTTTATATTCAAAGCAGATTGTGCCCTAGTTAAACATAGTGGCACATGTAGTAGTTCAGAATGTAATAAGAAAAGGAAAACAAAGAGTTTTCATGTAAAAAATTTTCTTGTCCCTGTTGACCAGTCTTAGGCTCAGGTAGTTTATGTGCTTTGCTTCTGCTAATCTGCCACACGATGTCATCTGTTCAGCGCTAAATGACACTGAATTTTATTTATTTATTCATAATTTGTTTCCTTGTTTGTGGTTAAGACTTAATCCTCCTCTTCCACTTCCTCTCCTTCTTCTCTTCCACCAGCTCTTCTATGGCTTTAACTGGACAAACTTTGTCAATGAAAGTGTGAAAACTTCTGAGTCCGACTTTTCCTGGTTCTGGTTCTGGTCCTATTCTGCTCTTATTGCAGTCCCCTGGAGCCATGGTGGCTTTTTATTGGCCCAGACACAAAAATTTCCCCCTCGAGAGGAATAAGCTAGCTAATAAGAGAAGAGATTCAGGAGAAGTTAAGAGGTGATAAATCCTCATGCTAAATACTGGAGCAATAAAGCTGGGCTGGCATTTGCTTCTTTGGCTTGAGAAGGGGCAGAGAGTGAGTTCTGGGAGCACTGTAGCTGGCACAGGATTGGTTGTATAATTGGTGTTATTAATCACTCATCACTTAAGCGCTCGCCACCCACTCACACACACACACACACACACACACACACACACACACAAACACACACAGATTTACATTACGATCACTGTGTGCTGTGGGACAGCAAATCTCTTGTCAATTGCCTCTTTTATTCATTGTCCAATATTATTACCTACTTTTGTGCAAAACCATTAATCTCCGGACTGTTTCAGGGCCGCTCTGGAGACATTGTGTGTGTATGTGTGTGTCTTTGTGAGAGTTGAAAACTGAAAAGATAAAAGTTTCTCCCCTCTTTCTCTCTTTCCCAGCCTGCATCTTCTAAAGCCAGGCGAGAAGATAGAGAAGCAGGTGTCCATCATGGCCTCCTCACCTGGAACTAAACTGCTGATGGCTAAGTTCTCACACAGCAACAGCCCCAACGCCGTTTCCAGGACCTTCCACAAAGTCACTGTCACATAGGGAGCAGTCTGTCCTCCCCAAAGCTTCATTGAGGAACAACCAGAAACAACGTCTTCTCTTTTTTTTAACTCATTATTTTATCTTAATCTGTATTTTCTTCCTCCTTCAGTGAATACATCTCAAATGAAAATGGAAAGTTCCCGAAGCTGCCCATAATCACTAATACTGAATATTTCATATAACTTCTATATATGAACGTACAGTATTTGTGTATTTTTCGGTACGTAAGACCATACTTATACAACGTGTTGGTGGTAAACTAATAGATTTAATCGGTGGGGTAGTAATCAGTCATTGAAGACAAATTACACCGGGGGTGTAGTCGACATGACACGCAGGTATAATCTTTCTGTATAACCACTTAAAAAGGCTCAAGGATACGTAACAACATAGTTTTGTGACAGAACTTTGCACTTCAGCTATTTGTTTTTGTAAAAATCTGACAGTCAACTCAACAAATGTCATAAAACTTCCCCCTGCGCGTTCCACAGTATACCCACTAAAATAAAGCGGACTACACTACTGAAATTACATAAAAATAACACGATTCGACACTGACGTCTCACTTTAAATTTTAAAAAAGTACCTTTCAAAATCATCCCTCTGTCAGGTGCAGAGGAATCAAACAGATTCAGGCTCACCAAAGTCTCCTACAAACAACCAAGTGTTTGTGTCAGGGTTTTAGTAGCAGTTATTGTGCCGGTTCACTGGCACGGCTTCATGGGACATTCTGGAAGTGAGTAATTATAAAGATTTGTTTTCCTGCTATGACAAGTCAAAACGCCTGGAGCAGGTCACAGTATCACAAACTAACATGGGTGTGACACAGCCACTAATACTAACACAGGGTGTGAACAAAAACAGTTACAAAAGCAATCCATTACACATTTTCAAACATATGTTGAGGCATAAAGTAAGAGAGATAAAACGAGAAAACAATCAGCTGTGGACAAATATCAGATTTTAAAAGCTAAAAGCATTTTTTTTTTTGACAATTTAATTTTCATGGTTATAATAAAACGCATCTCCAAGATCACTGAGGAAACTCTTTCCCCTGATGAAGACTGTGAGTTGAAAGCTCTGGGGAAAAAAGTGAGCAGACTTTGCATTTATAAGGAGTTTGTCAAAATGTTATTATTAAAGATTAATAGCTTTCACACCCCACTTACTGTGTGTCAACTTATCTGGGTGAATGTAGCCACACCTTTGGGTGAGATGACAGGTTGGGGCAAAAAAACTAAAACAAAACATTCTTTGTATTTGAGCTCATCTAATATATATATATATATATATTTATATACACACTGTAACTGATATAAAAAATGGAAAACTTTAGGACACTCAAAAGTATAAATATAAGTTTGACCAATGAATAAAATTTTATCACAATTACTCGACCTCCAGTGAACCCTATCGCACTTCCTGTTTGTCTGGTTAGTGAATTGACACTAATGACAGTTGACGCTTAATCTGCATAAATCTGAGATGTTGTAACCTTTAGTTCCCAGTGAGGTTCATGCTCCAAAAAACATTGACCCTACCTTTCCCATAATGCATCTCAATAGCAATTGATATCTATATAAAAAGAAAACATGCTGTTTATTTTAAAACTGATAAAATTCTAATAACTGAGAATGAGAACTGCCAGAAATCCAGATATAATTTAAGGAGTATATTTTCTTAAGTAACCTCATGTGACCTATTGATCCGGTCAGTCTTGAAAGTGGAGAGTCTCGCCATCCACTGGCTCACACAGAATCACACAGAGATTTGCATATTAAGTCACGAGCATCAGCCTGTCCTGACAACACCCTTGGGTGTGCTTCGTTGCCAGTGTTGTTTTGTGAATTGATGCCTGTGTTTTACTAGACTTTTCCTGCTGGGTGCATGACCTGTCTTGTGTTTCCTCTTATATCAATATGAGAATATTCCAATGATAATAGGTGGATGGCTAATTTACAGCTTAGGCTGGCCTTGTGCTGCATTGCTGTAACACAACACCACCATCAGATGGCAGCAGTGGAGCATCCACTTGTATGTCTGTGTCTGACTTTTTCTTTTTATTGAGATCCAGATAACACAAATAAATTCTCTTTATATACTTAATAAAACCCACCTGTTTTAAACCTAATTTGCGCCCATTTGCATATGTAAATGTAATAAGCTTATAACAGAAGAATGTGAGCAAAAATGCATTTATGAAACCTCATTTGAAAGGTAACATTATAGTTTCTGAAAATGTGCTTGTTTGCATGTGACTACAACCCAACCTAAACTACATCAGCTCATGCATGGTATCTTTTAGTATTCTTATCCTGTAACAAAGTAATACTTCATAACTACCTGCAGGATTTACTTTATACAAGAACAAAAATAGTTTGTGTGGTTCATTTACTAACTCTCTAACGTGGAAAAGATTTGGATAGCCTCATCCTCTCGCGGTGCTTCGTTCCCTGTGACAGTCTATTGAAAACAGAGCATGGATGTAAATAAACAGAATACTAGTGTAAATATTTTTGACACATTTTAATCAAGAGAACGTGAATAAAGGCCAAGAAAAATAATTCTGTGCAAAAATATACGTGGAATCCTGCGCGAGCACGGATTTTTTTTTTTTTTGTTGGTATGTACGCATCTTTCCAGCTTCGTGCGTACGCCACGATTCAGTATGAATTTTACGCAAGGCTTTGGTACGTGAGGCCCCAGGTGTCCCCCTCTGTCAGCTGATCAACACCTGCTGCAGGTCAGTCAGGTTCGGAGCCTGAGGATTGATTTGCGCTGGCGCTGGTCCAGAGAGGAAGGACGCCGACCTTCAACCCGGAAGCATTCAAACGCTGCGTTCATGAAACTCGTCCGTTCGTTTTGGATTTGTTTTCAGTTGACATCATCTGAGTTTCTCATATTGAGGACGAAAAATGTGTCTTACAGCTCAGCCTGCAGGTTCTCCTATTGGCGTTAGCTCTGAAGTGCCCCCCCCTTACGTCATTACGTCTTAGGCTCGGAGACGCTCGCTGTCTCCCTCCAACCCCCCTGAAGTGAAATCTGATTGGATCTTTACATTTGTAACCTGAAAGCTAACAAACAGTAGCAGACCCCCGATCAAACACATGGATCTACAAACAGTTTTTTTTTTACAAATAATCCTTGGAATAGTATTTGGAACCATATTTTTATTTTCATTAAAGACATTGGATTTATAATATAATATAATATAAGGATTCTATAATTCTGCAGTAGGTGGCGATAATGCTCCATATGGTTGCAATTTGGCATAAAAACGAAGAAGAAGAAGAAGAAGAAGAAGAAGAAACAGTAGCAGTAGCAGTAACCGACCTATATACATACCTGCAGATGCACCGGGATGGAGAGAGAGAAGATGTGTGAAGGAAGAGTAGCAGATATTCACAACCTGGAATACTTTTATATATAAAAAAAAAATCCTTTTAATTTTTGTGACCTGTGGACCCTTAAGGACTAAAAAGGAATACAAATAATGGAGGAATGGAGCGAGAATCGGNAATATAAGGATTCTATAATTCTGCAGTAGGTGGCGATAATGCTCCATATGGTTGCAATTTGGCATAAAAACGAAGAAGAAGAAGAAGAAGAAACAGTAGCAGTAGCAGTAGCAGTAGCAGTAACCGACCTATATACATACCTGCAGATGCACCGGGATGGAGAGAGAGAAGATGTGTGAAGGAAGAGTAGCAGATATTCACAACCTGGAATACTTTTATATATAAAAAAAAAATCCTTTTAATTTTTGTGACCTGTGGACCCTTAAGGACTAAAAAGGAATACAAATAATGGAGGAATGGAGCGAGAATCGGAGGTCTACATGTCTAAAAGGTAGGCGGTCACCACTCTCCACTGGTAGGCTACATGATTCTGGTAGATGTTAACAAATCAAAATTTATGTGCTTATGGTTAGCGCAAACTGAACTGAATATTTGGATTCTAGAGACTCTAACCGATCTAAGAAGGTACAACAAGTCTATACTGACAAACGTTTACACATTCAGAACCTTATAAACGGCCCGTGCGTGGGCCAGCGGGCCTTATGAGGCTAAATCGTTTGAGCCTGCGTACAAGGACGCTTAAGAGAAGTAGTTTGTTTTGGACTTTTATGTTTTATTTTCTCGTAGTTTTCACAGTGTCTTCTGACATTGTCCTTTTAAAGGGAGGGAGACCAGTGTAGCTACACTCATCATAGTTTGTTGTCATGATAGATACGTTTCAGCCACTGTAAAAGACTGATCGTTTGTAATTTGTACAATGAGCACAATGTCAAAAAATGCAGAATGGCAAAGTCCAGAGAAATTTACCATCAATTAACCTTAACCCTCGGACAATCCAGGATCACTTCCCACAAGTAGGTTTCCTAATGTGAGTGAAGCTTAATTTCTAGTACAACATTTTCCCAGCTCTAATCCCTCCTCTGTGGTGAAGGAGGCATCAATAGAGACCAAAAAGCCATTTTGCTGTTAGAGAAGATGGTTTACTGTAAGAGACCGAGATATTCTGTCCCCCGTTCAGAAATAGGCCCATCAAACAGCCTGTAAAACTATACAGAGAGAGCTCGGACACGGGCACTTTACTGCATTTCCCTGTCAATATAATGGCCTCATAAATGGAAAAACACAGAACATCTCAGGTTGGTGTCACAGCATTTAATTTCAGGCAGACGTGCAAGGTTCAGAGATGCTTTGCAGAGATATGGGGGCCTTATACTTTGTGTCTGTAGGGGTGCAGCTTACAGACGAGGGTTGTTTTAACCTAAAGGATTCCAGGCTGACAGAACAGCTTGTGATCCCACCTTGGTGTCAGGGAGATTGAGGCGGAGGCGTTGGCAGACGGAGACGATAATCAGACTCCACGCTCGCTGATTTTCAGACAAATTAAACGTCAGGGGAAAGCAGAGAGCGGGACCGCTGGGCTGCTTTGAAAAGCTGAGGCTATCATAAATTATTAATGGCTCCCCGTCACGGCCCCCATCTCGTCATCCCTCACTCTTTTCAGCCATCTTTTTGCTTCATCCATCCCTCCTTCCTGGCTCCTTGATGTTGATCACACTTCTTCCTTCCTCACTTTATTCTTCCTCTTCAGACTCTTTCTCCCTGTTTATATTTAAATGTCTCTCCTTCCTTCATCTTCTGTGCCAGTCACCTCCTCTTTCCTTCCCTCCTTCCTCCCTCCTGTCCTCCCTCCCTCTGTTCATTCCCTCCTCCCTGCCTCCTTTTTGACTTCACCGGGTTTTCCTCCCTCCCATCCATCTGCTCCTCATTAATTGTTCCTCCTTAATCTTGATCACCTTTTCCTCCTCTGAATATCCTTTTTTCATCACTCCTTCCTTTTCATTGTCTTGCTTTCCATCCTCCGATCTATTCATCCCTCCTTCCTCCTCTTTAGAACTTCTCATGTCCTGTTTCTTCATTGTTTTTCCTTCATCACCTCTTAAACCCCCCATCTCCTCTCTTCATCCCTTCATCCACTATCCTCTCCTGCTTGCTAAGTTATATAGCAAACTATACTATGAGCTGTGCAAGTCAACTTAACCTTTGAAGTTTTAATAGACCCACATGGGTTTTGCATCAACGCAACATTGAGTTTTTGGTTCTTTTCTTTTTAAATAGAGGAATTTGTCACTATTTCTTCTGCCCACCGGACCATTAGAGGCTTGTTACCTCCACTGAGGTGGTTAAGTTTTCACCCCGTGTCTGTGTGGTGGTTTGTTTGTTTTATTTGTTGGCAGGATTACGCAAAAATGGCTGATATGCACTGATTGGTTGTCTAGGTTGGTGCACAAAGTTTGATTCCAAATATAGAAGACAATTACATTTATTCAGCAATTAAGTCAGAAAAGCAAACGCACCCCATCCAGCAGCTCAGCTTGGCTACTTACTCAGATCCACCTCTTTTAAGTGGTTCCCAACCTTTTCTAACTCATGGCGACCTCATAACAATATGGAGGCCAAATAATGTATTCTCAGAGCACTTTTTATTTAATGGTAACTATTGAACATTCAGGATTGGATTGAAAGGAGGGGAATCTCAAGTTTTCTTTTTTGTTTGATGGGGAGAGATCTCTTGTCGATTCACAGTCTGTCTCTTGACTCTCTTTAACTTTTCCTGTTGCTAACCAGCTCTCCATTTTGATGCTCCATTTTTTTTATCTTCTCACGCACAATCAGACTAAGATAGCAAACAAGTATACGATGTTGTGAGGCCAGTGACAACATAAAAATTCCTGGCACATCACAGTGATAGATCTTAATATGAAAAAAACAATGAAAGAGGTTCTTCAACTTTTTCAGATTTTATAATATCTTCGTTTTAAAACATTTAAAAACATCATTTATATTTTTTATTTTATAATTACATCTTTTTACCAAAGTCATACTGTTTTGCAAACGATTTGTCGACCTACTTGCAATACCCCAGTGGCCCACCGGTGGGCCACGGCCCACAGGTTGGGAACTACTGCTGTAGAAAACAAAACAATCCTTGGAGTAAATAACATCAATACAAATGTACATTAGTCACATTTTTTTCCAGTTTTCCGAGGTAAAACATTTATGAATCTTCTAACTTCATTTCAAGTAATGTTAAAATGCTTAAAGCGTAAAACCTAATTTGATAAACGAAAGGTATGACAAACACATAGCCTTACAATGACATGAACAGCAATGATTTCTTCCAGGGGAGTAATCCATCAAGTCACATGATTTCTGTGAAGTTAGGATTACATTTTTGATGCGCTCGACGCTGCTAATCCACTCTGCTCTCTGTCTTGCAGCGTGAGAAGCAGAAGTTTGTAAACTTCCCGCTGCAAGTCAACAAGCGAGGGAGCAGATTGATAGATAGGCATTTGATGGATTTTGCTTGACAGATGGAACAGCTGCAAAGCCCTGAAGTGGCCGTCCATCCTCAAACCCGTGTGAGCGAACTGAGACAGGATTTGTAATGGGCCTATTCACCAGATTTAGAGCTCGAGCTTCAGCCTGTTATGGTAAAAGAAAAATAAAAGAAAAGGAAAGAATCATTCAAGACTCTATGGGGCAAAATGGACACGACCAAATGTTATTTGAAAGTATCAGCCTCCTCATTA